TAGCAGTACAATTTAGTGTGAAATCCAAAATAATTTAAATCTTGTCAAGGAATTATTCGTGAAATATGTTTCCATGTCGTCTGGATTGCTAGAAGAAGAAACCTGAAGATTTAAAACCCAAATTGTGCCACATTTTAAGTGATTGCACAGCATCAGTTTTTAAGAAAACAAAATGATGACCCATAGATTGTAGAACACGATTCAGGCAAATACATATTTTCTATAGTTTGGTTTGTAAGGGTTAGTTATGTTTTTACGAGTTGATCACGGATTGATATCAGTTAGAGAACCATTGAAAACCATCCTAGTTTGAAAATCATCGGCAGTACGCACCCACTGGGATTTGAACCCAGGACCTTCTGCTTACAAGGCAAGCTGGATTGTATACCATTCAGCCACTGGGACCCGATTCAATGGCCAGCCAGCCCATGAATTCTAACTTCTACCAATTCGTGATTTAGCGCGACCCCAACCAATGTCGTTGGTGGGACACCCATCCTCACACGTGACATTTGGTTGAACCTCACTGGTCACGACTTCTCACTAGAACTGACTCCAGGAAACTCCATCTTGTAGCAAGTCACTAGCAAGAAGTGGGTGCGTACTGCCGATGATTCCCAAACTAGGATGAAAGAGCTGGTCGTCCAGTACTCCCTGCTTGTTTTCAATGGTTCTCTAACTGATATCAATCCGTGATCAACTCGTAAAACAAATACATATTTTCTGTAAATTCTCATCAGGCTTCACAACTGTATATTAAAATACTAGTCGTAGGCATTTTAAATAATATGGATAAATACAATCAAATATAATCGAGTAGAATGTGTATATTAGTAGGCGTACAGGGGAAATAACAGTTGTCAGATAACGGTTAGATAATATAACAAATAATAAATTGTGAAACCGAGATTATTATATGCAACTGTAGAACATCATTAAGACACTGACAATCAAGTTAGGAGTACAAGTACTTATGAAAATAATATTTACAGTTATGTCGGTGTTACAGGAAGCGAAAACTATTCCACCATCAGGTCAGTCAATCTCTCCTCTGTTACATTTTTATTAATTTATGTTCTCCCCTGATTCTTCTTCATACACATGGTTCCCTTGATAAATTTGAATAATTCAAGAAAGAATAGATTAGCAGTATAAAGTAACGTGATTCTATTTCATAGGTTCTCTTCCATCATATGCAGACCAATATTTGGAATTTTAATGTTTATAAAAGAATGAGAATAACATACTTTAATACTGGAATAGTAGACAGAAAAATGTCATAAATTAAGGCATTCAAGATGTAGGCATCTCATAATTTTTCTTTTTCATTTCAAGTCATAAATTTATGTGCATTGCAAAATAGAAAACTAGAGGAGAAAAATCCAATACAATAAACAATGTCAGCTTACCAGTTTTCATAACAACTCAAGAAGATTGTAGATTTCATAAGACACTGAAATTTGCTCACTGAGCTGAAAATTAACTAATATTGGTGATTAGTCAATTTAATCAAGATCAACAGAGTGTGAGAGATTGACCAGTCTTATTAACTACAATCTTCGTTAGTTGTCAAGTAAAGTCATAAACTAGCACTGCTTACTAGATTTTTCTGTTTTCTGTCTTAGCCTCCTTGTTTCTCACTCTGAAATGCATATATGTTGACGATGACTGAGACTAAAACTCGTAATACTTACACTCTGGATGCTTTATTATTATTTCCTTTAATTCCTAGAGGAACATAGGGCTTCAGCCGCGCGTCTCCATGGCGTTCAGTTCTCTGCTAGAGTCTTCACCTGGCTCCACGTCTGCCCACATGCTTTCATCTCATCTTCACATGACCTCCTCCAAGACACCCTCGCACTGACGACCAACTCGCCGCTTCCCTTTCGGGCTCCACTCGAGTAATAGCTTGTCTAGTGATGTCACTCACTTGACGGTTTGATTTCTCAGAGTATGACCTCCAATCCACCTCCATTTCTTCCTGCTTAATTTTTTGCACAATCGGTTCCTGGTTGTTTCGCTCCCAGAGATCATTGTTACTGATCTTTTCTGGCCATCTGATCCTGAGTATTGAGCGAAGACAACAGTTGATGAAGGTCTGTAGTTTGTTTGAGATGCTCTTTGTGACGCGCAGTGCAAGTCTCTGATCCGTATTGTGAGTAGCACTGACTTCACATTGGAGTTGAAAATCCGGATCTTATTTTCATTCTCATGCTGAGTGCTATTGACCTCCACACAGACTTGAGGGTAATGAAAGCTTGCCTTGTTTTCCCGATCGATCCTCGCTTTGACATCCTCGTCAGTCCGGTCCGCCTCTAGTTGAAACGATTTTTCCCAGGTGAGTAGGTAAAGGAGGTTGTTTCTTTCAGGTTCCTTCCATTTATGCTGATTGTTGTCTGTTGTTGTTTTTGTTGCCGTTGCTTTTGGACGGGAATCTTCATCACCTCTGTTTTCTTTATGTTCATCTTAAGTCCTATCTTTGACGCCACTTCTGCCAACTTTTCGCTTTTCGCTTGCATATCTTCCAGTTTGTGAGAAATCAGACATATATTATCGGTGAAGTCCAGATACTCCAAGTTTTTCGTGAGGGTCCATTGTATGCCTGTTTCCTCATTGCCCACTGTCTGTTGCACTATCCAATCTACTTCAATCAGGATGCTTTAGTTTTACAATATTTTATGTCTTACATCATTCCAACATTGAAGTACGTTATTCTGGTTCTTTTATAACTACTGTTATTCAACGTTTTTTTATTCCTTCACGTTCGCAGTGGAACATAAGGCTTCAAGCTAGAGGCTTGAAGTTTCTGTAGCAGTTTATTTTTACGAGATGGGTTCGCTAGCCTCATGCCCAACTTTTCCTCTTTGCCATTTCTATTACTGGCTTAGCGAGGTTGGGGAGTGCGTTGGTGGCCGGAGATTGAAACCCGGACCATGTGCATGGTTGGCGAGCGTTCAAACCGCTGTGCCACCAATGCACGTAATTAAACGTAGCTTGCATCTAGTGACAGGCTGTGAAATAAAATTACTTCGTTTTTATGCTGCAAACTGAGTCATTTTTCTATTATCGATTCCCTTGTATTGTTTTCCACCGAGTCTTCTCTGGGCTCCCCATAAAGATTATGTTATATTGCATATGAATTGGAAGGGTGTTAAACAGGGTTGGTGTTGGTGTAAGTCTGACTCAAGTAACTCCATATTTGGTTGAAGTCATCAACATCCTTTTGATTTACAAATTTCTCCCTGTATCTCTTCAGAAAGAAAGCAGCAAAAAGTTTCATAAGAATTTATACTCGCACGGAGAAGTATAAAAACGTAAACCGTATCATATTTACTATAGTTTGGTTTGTAAGGTTTAGTTATGTTTTACCAGTTGATCACGGATTGATATTAGTTAGAAAACCATTGAAAACCAGGAAGTACTTGACAGCTGTTTCATCCTAGTTTGGGAATCATCGGCAGAACGTACCCACCTACAGGGTTCGAACCCATGACCTTCCGGTTACAAAGCAAGCTGACTGGTATACCATTCAGGCACTGGGACCCGATTCAATGGCTCATGAATTGGGGTCGCGCTAAATCACGAATTGGTAGAAGTTAGAATTCATGAGTTATTGAATCGGGCCCCAGTGGCTGAATGTTATAACTTGTAACCGGAAGGTCCTGGGTTCGAATCCCAATGGGTGCGTACAGGCGATGATTCCCAAAGAGCTAGGATGAAACGGCTGGCTGTCCAGTACTCCCTGGTTTTCAATGGTCCTCTAACTGATATCAATCCGTGATCAACTCGTGTCATATTTAGCCTGAATGTCGTATGACGAGAAAATCGTCAGAAGATAACTAATGAACTTACTTTATGCTGTGTAAAGATTAACTTTTTGCCAGCAATATCATTGCACATATGCAATATTTTTATGTTGACTTCAATTTTCCCGATTTATCCACTATCTTTTTATTTGCATAATGAGATAAATAATCCCAATATATATATGCATACTTAAATTTGTATCCTAGATAAAAATTGCTGTCTGGAATAAATCCACTATTATTATAACTATAGAAGTAGGTAAATTAGGAAATGTTAAAAGGATTGAGTATTTATGGGGATAATTAGATAAATATTCATGAGAAAAGAAGGACACAAATCAAAGTCTGCAAATTTGGTTGAAGCTAAACTAGAAGTAATCTGTTGACATAACAGACGGCTTGACTGACTCCAAAAAATATATGCTTTACAGACTGAGATGATTGTGATAATTACTCTTTACTCTATTTAACATCATTTTCTTGGCTGATATATAACCAGTAATGGTTTACCGAAAAAAAATGACTGACAACCACTGAACAAAATTAACACACGTTTTTTTAAACATACATTAAATTGGCAGCAAATTTGTCCTACTTAGCTCTGGTCAGGCTTTTAAATCGTTAGGGATTAATTTTGACTTTAAAAGGCGAAAATCAATGCTTTAAAGATAGTAAAATATTGGAATCATTTTTAAATACTCCCTTAAAAAACCAGCATTAATCACATAACCAAATACGGTGAAAAAATGGTCAAAAGTTGTAGGCTACGAACCACTAGAGGATTTTTGAGGTCAACGTTTTACTAGTCTTTACTCCTTCGAGTGAAAAGTTGGAATGCCTAGCTTGCTGGTTACTCAAGAGATACACGTAGTCGCTGTTACAGCAGAATTTACAAACAGAATGATTTTGCTCTGAGACCCCAGACACAGTGTAAACAACTTATACTATGCTGGGATCGACTTTGAAACTAACGGGTATCGAAGCGACCTCTCCAACTTGGGAGAACCGACAAGAACTTTCGTGTAAGTTGGTATAACCCACTGGGTTATTGGGAAGTTTATCAGCTGTCGCTTGGGACCCAGTATTGCCGTAGTCTGTCTATGGAAATGTAAATCTTTTTCATACAATCTTACATTATTTATAGGTGTTAAAGGTTAAAGTCAGTGACGTATATCACCTGTTTTTGTTTTATAGAATAAAGCAAGTCGTTCTTTTCGGTGAAGGAGCTGGTGCGAATATACTGGCACGTTTTGCGGTAAGTTTCTGCTCTTGTTTATACTTTATTATAAGACTGTAATCAAATTTATGCATGTGTCTCGGTGCAAGCAAATGTTGACTATATAACCTATTCATGTGATCCACTTATGATCAGTTTTATTTATAATATGACAGCTGGTTGAATGATCACCAGGTTTAGATAATAATAATAAACATCATCAATCAACGAGATGATCTTGAATGTCAAAGAATTGTACGGGGTTATGACGCGATGCTTTTGAATCTGTCACTGTATTATGTATTAATGTTTTAAGAAATTACCCACACCATTATAATTTTGATTTTTTTAATCTGTCATACTCCTCCCTCTTACTCCTCTGTCTATTTAAACTTTATTTTTCTTTTTGCCATGATTCACTGTAATTTATTTACTAACCACACACGTCACAGTATACATTTCTCATAAGTGAATATAGCACTGTGTGTAGACTATTCAGCAGAGGGGTCCTACTAAAAAATTTAATGAATTCATTGAAAAATGCTTTGTAAACATTTGCTGCTTATTTTCAATGATGTTACACAAATAATTAAAACTCTAAATATAGCCTGCAAAAATTAGAATAATATTCAGTGAAGCTTGATGAAGCATTGCTACTGAACATTCCGCTGAGTCACCTTCCAGTCTCTCAGAAACATCAATACAACACTACCAAAAATACAGTGACAGGAATGATAGCAGTTGTTCACATCAGTGACAATCATCGTAAATTAAAAACACATCTTATCCTTGTAATTCAGTGGGATTAGGATTGATACAAGAAAGGACTTAGATAGGGGTTGACATGATGACAGTCTGTCTGTTTTCGACATAGAACTTTGCACCGATGTGCGGCAGTTCAGGTCGTCACACTCCATGTAGCACACAAAGCAAGAGAAGGTTGGAGAAAGGCATAATATAGACAGTAAACAGAGGTGTGAGACAAAGGAATAGTATTAACGAAGGACAATATAGTTTCATTGGAAATCATCTGCGCCACTGAGAACGATTTTGAGCCATATCACCAATTGTTTCCAACCATTGGTCTTTACCGTCCCGAGGACCCCAAGCAGTCAGGAAGTCTACACCTTCCTACGTGGTCTAGACTAACTTGTGTATTTCATTGACTGGTGCCATGTTTTCGTTTAACCGCCGCTAGCTCTTTTCTAGCCTGACCCTATATCAGCTAACATTGCCCATTGTCGAGGAAGGCGATGACTAGGCATGCGTAGCACATGTCCTAACCATCTCAATCGATGTAATTTCACAGCCTCATCGATTGATTTCCTCTTTTTATCTAGCACTCGACCCATGCCTAACCTCAATACTACTCACCTTATTATACCACTTCACACGGGATATAGAACGCAGACACCTTTGATCGAACACAGCCAATCTTTTCATGTCTTCCACTTTCAATGGCCAGGTCTCACAGCCATAAAGGAGGACGGAGCGGACTGATGAGCAGTACATACGCCCTTTGATCGATAGCCAGTCGGATGTCACGTTTACGCCAGAGACGGCGTATACTGGCATATGCGAAACTAGCCCTCTGTATCCGTGCTAAGATTTCGTCAGAGATCAACCCGTTGGGGCTGATGATACTTCCCAAGTAAGTGAAGCGGTCAACGTGCTCTACCACCTCACTTCCTATTTCTAATCTAGGAGTCGTTGTAGTCCCATCCTGTAACATCATCTTGCATTTGGCGGGAGCGAATCGCATGCCAAACATTCGTAAATTGCAGCTCAAGGTGCTCAGAAGACTCTGAATTTTGTCAGCGTCTTCACCTAGATGGACTGTATCGTCTGCATATTCTAAGTCGACGAGATTATTCCCTGTTAGCAAGTCAATCCCTGAGTTGCTGATGGTATGCTTGTGGTTGTCTTCTAGGTGACTGAAGTGGACCACCAACTCTCTGGTTATCATTTCGCAGAATCCACTTTCACTACATTTCCTCTCACATATTCCCACCACTTCTATACAGTATTTCTACATTCTTTTCACAATCTGAATAGCCTTCCTAGATTCGGACAGAGTGTGGATATTCCATGTCCACGTGCTTATCTTTGCTTTCATCTAAAGGATGCACATCGGCTGACTGGCTTCCCCAAGGCTTTCACCGACCTGTATCATTTCATCTCTACTATTCCAGTGAAGAATAAGTTTGTTTTCTTTTTTTTACATTTTTTTCTGTGCTTTGAAGTTGCTGTAGCAACTGGATTAATTTTCTGGTGGTAGGACAGCTAGCCCAACTCTCAACTTTCCCTCCATTTCCGGCCTTAGGACTGGCTACTAAGCTAGTGAACTAGTGAATCAGGTTAATTCAGCATAATTAGAACTGACAGAGAAACAATCAAGTGGCTGAAGGGGGCATAGCAAGTTTTGTAATAGACATTCGGTAACGTGTCAGTCACTTAAGTTACAACTAAGCATAACCTAGTTGGTGATTGAAATGACTATGGACAAGAGTGAAGCAACCTTCAATATTCTTCTTCTTGATGTTTTGCAAAAATACCTGATCTTATAAGGCTTTTCTGACAATTCAGTATTTTTCAATTGCTCAGTATCTGCGTGCATCTTTGGGTGTGCGCAGATGCACTGATGTGTGATTTGCTTTTGCGAAGGTTTTCAGTTTCAACAGAAATTAATTCCTTCTAGGTAACATCGTATTTGTTATGCATTCATATATTAATACACATCATTTCATTCGAGTCTATTTATATATTCAAATCTCACTAATCAAGCTACCTGTTACGTGATGTAAATCAATGTTCTTTTTTGGGAGGGAGAGGAAGTGAATTAGAAAGAAACATCCAGTGTTATCACTATGAATGATAACAACGACAACATACGTCGATTATTTTCTCTTAAAATCTGAGGTCAGTGAAAAACTTCCACTCCATCCCTCTTATTCCTATCAGGGCTGATTTTGTAGGCAGAAGAAAACAAAGAAAAATCGGAAAAAAACTTCGATTAGGAGAGGGATGAATGTGTAGCAGTTTATCATACACACATGCATAAGCATCTTACGTTAAATGGTAGTGAAAGAAGAATATTCTCTAAGTTTGATAGCAAACTGACTTCACTTGGTGAATCATTGAAAACTAGGGTGTACTGGACTGCTGTTCCGTTCTAGCTCGGAACTCTTCAGGAGTCCTCACCATTCACCCTGCTGGGGATAGAACTCAGGACAGTTGGGTTATAAGGCAAGCTCGCTGGCCAGCCAATCAGTGGTCCATTCATTCTAAATTCTGTCAATTCGCGATATATAGCGCGACCGCCAGCCAGTGTAATCGGCAAGTATTATTCATCATGTCTAAGTTGAAGGATTCAGCTCGTAACGGCTTCTCATCATCTTGTAGTCAGTCAATGAGGTTCTCGTGAGAAGCCATGACCAGTGAGGCCCACAAAGTTGAGTGTCAGGAGACGTGCTCACCGTTGACTTCGGCTGGCGGTCGCGCTATATATCGCGAATCGGCAGGATTTAGAATTGATGGACCATTGGCTGGACGGTCAACGAGCTGGTCTTCTAACCTAACGATCTTGAGTTAGATCCTTGGCGAGATGCACTTTGCGCACTAATAAAGAGTCACAAACTAGGACGAAACAACTGTTCAACAGTCCCTTAAAGTTTTCAAATTTTTTAAAAATGAAGTCATTGTGTGATCAAACTTGAGATAAATCAAATCCCATCAAACGAACACTTGAAAAATGCTTTTTATGTTTTCCCGTAAGCCTTTCCTATTTTTAAAGTTAGCCGTAGTGATTTCGTTATTTTTTAACACCACGTTTTATGACTGCCGATCGGTGACTGGATGCATTATTGTATGAAGTGGTAAGAAGCAGTGATTTCGGTATTGCGTGCTCTACTCTCTCGTTCTTCATAGTGTATTCATAAACCAAGGGAGTTAGACAGAGTGAAAATATGCGTACGCGGCATCTTTTTTCGTGTGAGCTGTCAAATAAATAAATAAATAAAGAAAATCTAATTTAAGCCCTTAGGCAAATAAAGCCTAAAATTAAGTGAAATAAAACCAATATCTTCAGGCTATGCCTTCATGTACGTTTTTATATTATATATTATTCCTTCTGATTTTGTAGTCTACTACGTACATCAATATTATAATAGTGCTTCAGTTTTATTTCTCCCTATCAGTTAGTTAGATTTACCCTTGAAGCAATAATGTGAAACGTAGCAATTGAAACGATTCTACGTCAATTAATCTCTTTTTATGCACTAACCGGAACACAGATGTGTATTTTATTTGAGTCTGTAACAGACTGAAATTAGGCTGTGGTTTGAATAAGTGTTTTGGGCTGATGACAGTCATTGAAAACCACCACAATGCAACGTTGTATAGTATTTTCAAGCATTCCTTTGCAGGAATTTAAATGATTTCAAGTGAGATCGCAAACCGATACCAGTCAGATGATCACTGAGAACCAGGGAGTACTGTTGTACAGCTGTATCATTCTAGTTTTGGACTGTTCAACAGTACGCACTCATGATCACATCAGAAATCGAACCTAGGAGTTTCAGGTTCTGAGGCGAAACTCCTCACCATACCGGGATAGTATATGCAATGTCTCATGGATTCAAACCTCTTCTATTTCGTGATATATATGGCGCAACTATCAGTGTTAAAGAGTCCCACCAAGGACACAGCAGTTGTCCAGTACTCCCTAGTTTTCAGTGATTCTCTAATTACTATCATTTAGTGAGTGAACTAAAAGTAAATTAGTTTTAAAAGAAACCACCGGTGAAATTGAATATCAATGAGATGCTCATTGACGAATGGCCCTATTCAGGTAGGAAGTTACCTGGGGTTCTAGTGGGAAGTCGTGACCAGTAGGGTGCAGCAGGTCGGGTGTGAGGACAAATACTCACCGAAGACATTGGCTAGCGGTTGCGCTATGTCGTGAATTGACAGAAATTAGAATTCATGGGCTGGCCGTTGGATCGGGTCCCAGTGGCTTAATGGTCTACGAGCTCGGCGGC